TCGTCAACGTTCATCAACGAATCAACAACGATCAGGTTTAGCATCCATAGTTGAAATCAATTTTGATAATGACTTATGCACATCATTTCTAAACTATGCATCATCACATCATCTCACACTCTTTCAACTTGGATTATCCATATTTTATGTTTTTCTATTCAAATTAACTCATGGTGAGACTGATCTATGTGTTGGTTCTATTAATGCTAATCGATATCGAAGTGAATTAGTGAATATGATAGGAATGTTTGTATCAACATTACCATATCGTGTTGAATTTGATTCTCATTGGTCATTTGATGAAGTAGTTAAATATGTGCAAGAAAAATGTTTGTCAATTCTTGAACATTCTCATTATCCACTTCAACATATTCTTGGTGATAATCGATCAAGTCAATCAAATGTATCATTTCTTGAGACAATATTTGACTTTATCACTGTGTTAAAAGATATGGGATATTTATATTTGAATGATGCAACTTTAGAACAAATGCCATTGGAACAATCAGCTCAAGTGTCTAAGTTTGACTTCTCATTATCATTTCAGTACAATCCATTATCAGATAACAAGAAATTATCATGTAGTTTTGTTTGTTCACATGATTTGTTTGAAAAATCAACTATTTCAAAGATAGGCCAAAGATTTGAATATATGTTTGAGCAACTGTTTCAAACACAATCAAGCAATATTTCTGCGATGAATGTGAGTTCATCAATTAACAAACTGTCTCTTATTCTTCCTGATGAAGCGGAAGAACTGGAATTAGTGGTGTTTCATCGACTGGAGAATATCATGAATGAAGGTATGATTGTATATAACTTGTTCTATTATTTTATAAAAGTTGTATTCAGTTAAATCAATAGTGAGAAGTATGCATTAAAGTGCATTGCAATGTGCAGACACAGTATTTTTCAGTTCTTGAACGAATCCTGGCAGAATAAAGAATGAGAAAATAGAGATTCAAATAAGTTGTGACCATCAATAACTCTGGTTGTCTTTTCCTGGTGCTCCAGTTTCGTAACTTTTAAGGAGAAATTTAGGTAAGACTGTAAAGATCTCTGATGAATATTTGCTTTGAATATGTGAATAGTTTTATTTGTTTGTATCAGTTAACAAACAACTTGCCATTGTTCGAAAGTTGTATATTTCGTTTCACGGAGCAGAACAACTATGATAGTAGAATCTTTCATAAGGCCGTTTATATGTATATACTGCCACTATCTCAGAACTAAAATACGCTTGTAGATTTCATGCCGAAAAACAAATCCCACTTAAGTTGCTCAGACAGTTAAACAGGATCGGTAATATCCAGAGTTTGTCTTAGGTGAGACTAGTCCTCTTTGACTTCTAAGTAAATTAATTACTAAACACGCGATAGAACACTCGTTATTAACAATAAACTGTTGAAAATTTTGGTGGTCGAAACTGAGATCGAAGTGGAAAAATAAAAATTCATGCAATTGGATTAAGAATCATAGGGAAGAAGTCTTTCGGAGTCACAGTCGAGTTGTATAGTCATAAAACACCTATACTGCATAGTTTTCTACAATCGAACATTTCTGTTTGCTTTTGTTTTCTTCCGAGGTTATATATAAAGGTAGTACAAAGGTATTTTTGCTGTTTTCACTGATTAGATCTATGCCAGTAGATTATAAAAATTGTCAAACATCGCCACTATAAAACTCTTAAAAAATATTTAAATATGTATCAAATCATTGTACGATGTCATGAAGGATGCCACATTTACGTAATATAGTTCAAGTTTTTATTATGCATACTTCTATTAGCTATACAACTTATTTCAGAAGAATATTTTATTCAGATTATTCTCTAATACAGCTACAGAGATTTTAGTTTTAGACTAGTAACTAAAGCTTTTAGTGATCTAGTAATATACGTCAAAAGAATAGAATCACATAAACTTATTTTAAAAATAAATTTTTATATAGTAACTACAGTAATTTTATCATGTAACGTTATATATGTCTTTCAAGTGTATTGTAATACTGTTTGGTGACTTAAGGGATATATATGATGAACAGAAGTAAAAAAGAAAGAAAACGTAAAGAGAAAATCAGTAGACAGACAAATATATCATATCATCATAGACAAATCTATCAAATATTTCAGTGCATTTAAGTAAAGTAGAAAAATAAATTTGATCTACTCAGTGAACAGGAAAAATTTATATGAAATTAACAATATTATTCAGTGAGACTGTCAACTAAGTATTCGCACTAGGAAAATACCACTACTATCTGTTAGAGTGTTACAAATATACATAATTCTTCCTTGGCAAAAGTAGCAAAAAAACTATACTTCGAAATTCACGTTGAATGTGTATTAGGTTAATGAAAGTACCAACGCGTTTCATAAAAAACAATACTGTTTTATTTCTAAAAGGTAAAATCCTAACAGCGAACCATTTTCTTTTTCTTTGAGAGAACCGGCAGCATTTGCATCATGTTAGTGTCAGTGTGATAAGAGTTCCAAATTACGGTGTTTTTTTATATAAAAATTAACATAGAACTATTACATAATACTATTGAAGCTTATAAAAAGTCCCGGATGAAAATTGTTTTCTCGGATTCTATGAAGGCTAATAATATTCTTCGATTTTTGAAGTAGGATCCGACATCATACCATATTAAGCTTTTCACCCTGAGGTATTAAAATAGTTTTTATTACTGCTAACAGAAAATAGTGAGCCAACACTTTTAATTACGATGTATGTGCAGC